TGTTGGGAGCCACAGATGTTCCCACCCAAATAGACAGCTGCTGAAGTCCAGAGGTTCATTAAGCAGCCTCTGGACCCGTTAGCTCACAGACAAGCCCTGAACGGCATTCACAGGGACGCAGTCTCGAGTTATGTAGACTCAAGACCTGTGAATGCCGTTCTAGGCACACAAACACCGGACATTGACGCGACGGAGCTCCATCTGCCTCGGGAGACCAGAACAACAATAGCCCAACTTCGCTCTGGCTACTGCAGCAGGCTAAATTCCTACCGAAGTAGGTTAAATGCGGATGTGCCGAAGGAATGTCCGGCATGCGGAGAGACCCCTCACGACTCGAAACATCTCTTCGCATGCCCGGAAAACCCCACAACCCTAACGACGTCGTTCCTATGGACCGACCCCATAGAGGGGTTGTTGTAGCCGCTACAACAACAACAACAACAACAACAACAACAACAACAACACAAGAAGCAAGTGCTTAAGTGAGAGCACGGGTACAGCAACGACGACGACAGCAGTAGCCGAAAGTGAAAAATGTACGCAACCTACTTGTTGTTTTATTTATTTTGTTTACCTTTCTATTTGTTTAGTTTAGTTGGTTTGGATTAGTTGGTTTATTTTGTTGTAGCTTGCTCCTTTTTTCGCTTTTAGGTCAGTTTATTATGCAAAGCATTAAGTAGTTTAAATATGCGTTTGATCAGTTTTGATAACACAAATATAACTCAATTATCGAAGCAGTTATGAAAATTTTTAGTTACATAGTATCTTCATACCAGGAACAGTTCCAGTACTCCACCAGGACCATTTCCAGAGATATTCAATATGAAAAATTCGGTTTTTGTATGAGGTGCCACGCCCCTTTCCAATAACTCCAATTTCTCTCCATGAGTATGTGATTGATTTCATATATTTCCGTACCAAGTTCAAAAATTTTACCATGAACGCATCCAGAGTATAAATAAGCAAATGGGAAATAAGGCAAAATTTGTTTTATTTCCAACCTTTGTTGGAAATAAAGCAGAACTCGGATTTTGGTATTATTTCCCATTTAAAAGTGAAATAAAGCAAATTTTGCGTTATTGCCGTTTGTGTTATTTCACCATATTTTCTTAACAGCGGTCGCGCCTCGGCAGGCAATGGCAAACCTCCGAGTATATTTTTTGCTATAAAAAACAGCTTCTCATAAAAATACAATCGCCGTTCGGAGTCGGCGTAAAACTGTACGTCCCTCCCCTTTGTGTGACAACTTCAAGGCGCACGCCACAAATCGGAGGAGAAGCTCAGCCAAACACTAACATACATATGTGTAAGCGCCAATCTATTGTGTTTTTATTATTATTATTATGTACACATACATATGTATATTTTAAACAAACTTTTTTTTGCTGAGAACTTCTTAAAATTCCAAAAACCGAAGGCCAACTTGAATTTAAAGAACCAACACTGAAAATAAATAATAAAGGAGCACAAATTTCTATGTAAAGCAAAACTCTCGGGAAAATTTTAGAATGGTAACCCCCGAGTACGGAATTAAGGGAAAAAGAGGGGGGGGGTTGGGGGGGGGTAGAGGGGGTTCTAAAGTAAACGTAAACGTAAAGTTTTAAAGCGCGCAACCGCATACTTTTTAAGTAATTTGTTATTGAAGTTTGTAATTTTCACCAACTTGTATGGGACTATTTCACAATATATAATGTACTTTCCACTAAATTTACAGGTTATTTGCCCTCAATATATGCGCATATCTTGAAAACCAAGAATGGAAAGCAAGACCAAAAGAAAGTTAGATTAAAAGGAAAATACGATAAGGTTCTTTTGTTCAGATAAAAATAAATAGTAGGGGGATTGGGGTCATATTCCCCCATAAAATACTGAAACACATTTTTAAGGCTTATATGTATATTTTATTGCGTCAATAAGTTTGAGGAAAGGGTCCTCATGCTTACGAGCAATTGTTTTGCGCCGCAGATATTCTATAATTTTATCCGCAAAATTATGAGGATTATTATAGTTGTCTCTGTTAAAAAATCTTTTAATCACACGCCATTGTGATTCGATCCTTTGAGTAGGCGTGCCGTCGTCTGCCACAAAGGGGTTATCCGGATCGCTGTGGTTTACTTTCCTGTGCTCATACCCGTGGTCCGCTAGGCAATCGTACGCCTTCCAAAATCGGTACAAATAATTGTACCCTCGGCCACATGTTTTTGAATGAGGGGTATGAGCACCTCAGCAGACCGGACATTTTCTGGGCAGACTTTCAACCTCAGATCGTCGTTGCCGTCCTCAACCATCCCTAAGACCCAATGGCCTTCCACTCTCCTGCCTAAAACAAAATATAAATTAAAGAATGTGTTTTTAAATAAATTTTTGGTACCTTTGTGGTATTTTCGCTTCCCGAACTTGCTCTCGTCGATCTGAACAATTTTACCGGGGCCCAAATTTTGCCTAACACCTCCTGCTGATCGACTTGATACAAAACAACTGCCTCACGACAGTAGTTGTACCAATCGCAGATGGTGGCGCTAGACAAAACGGTTCCCTCGGTAATACTTTCTTTTCGGACTTCAGCCTGGTTCCAGTGCGAAGCGTAGGCGTACATTACGTAAAAAATGTCTGGTAGTGGAACCACGTACCAGTGGCCCTAGAAACGCCCGATCTTGAACGGCAGCTCCCTTTGCGGCATTGAAAGCTGCCGACCGTGTTGTTACCCAATAGTGAAACCGTCATTGGGATTTTATGCGTACGGCATAATCTTCTGGTCAAAATTAGGCCCTGTGCCTCTGCGAAAGCGGAACATTTTTCACGCGTATCAAAAGTCTTTGATACCTTTAGAAGGCTCCACATTCCGCGTACTTCAGCGACGCACAGTACAGTCGCATTTCGTGGATGAACACCACGGCTAGTGGAGGGCGTATCGATATCTTTAAATAATACGATAAATATTTACCAGATGTATAAATATAAGCACTTAAAACTTTAAAAACATACCTGCTTGATCGTCAGTCATTTTAGTTTAAAATAAATAATAATATACAAAAATCAGAGCTCACAAACAACGCCAAAATAACGTTTGGAAAAGAATATAATACCAAAGCAGAGAAAGAAGCGTTACTCTGAATAAAACTAACAGTACAATCCACAGTGGTACCCACTAAAAGGGGTACCAAATCTCTGTGGAACAAAAACAACATAAATAATAATTTTTACTTGCGTCCACAGTATTTTAGCGTAGAATTTCTTTCTGCGTAAGCGGCCATCGGCCGCGCTTAGGGATTATAACCCTCACAACGTAGAATTCTCCTTTCTGTGTTGCCAAAGAAAAGGGGCCGAACACCTTTTGCATAGAACACCTTTCTGCGTAGGCGGCCTTCGGCCGCGCTTAGGGATTATAACCCTTACTACGTAGAATTCTCCTTTCTGTGTGACATAGCTGGGGCTACCGCCCCAGTGATGTAACCTTGGGAAAGGAAGAGGTAACTAGAATTCCCTTTCTGTGTGGTAAACCTGGGGCCGCCGCCCGAGTGATGTCTATTTTGGTTACGGTTACGGGCATAAAGGAAAGCCAACCGCACCTTTCTGCGTTGGCGGCCTTCGGGCGCAATTGGGGATTATAACCCTCACTACGTAGAACTCTCCTTTCTGTGTTGCCGGAAGAGGGGAATATGACCCCAAGCCCCCTACTATTTATTTTTATCTGGACAAAAGAACCTTATCGTATTTTCCTTTTAATCGTATATTCTTTTGGTCTTGCTTTCCACTCTTGATTTGTAGATATGGCAACACAGTCCTGCTGCCATTTGCACATATTCTGCATGTACTCTCATAAAATTAAACAACAATCAATTTTTGATAAAAAAGCTGTAATATACTTAAAGTATTTTTTTGTTTGAACGTGTACACTCTAACTGCGCATATATTGAGTGTAAATAACCTGTAAATTTAGTGGAAAGTGCATTATATATTGTGAAATAGTCCCATACAAGTTGGTGAAAATTACAAACTTTAATAACAAATTACTTAAAAAGTATAAGGTTGCGCGCTTTGAAACTTCATACAGGGAACTGTTAGACCCCCTCTACCACCCATATTTTCCTTAATGCTGTACTCCGGGGTTACCAATCTAAAGCCCACCCAAACTCGCTGGGAAGACAATAGCTTTGTTCGTCTATCAAGTAGAGAAACTTGCAAATTTCTGCACGAACGCAAATTTCCAGGAATTTGCAAGTGTTCCTGCCAGCTAGTGTCCGCGGTTGTATTTAAAACATAAGAAATTTGTATAGAATTTTTAAAAATTTTCAGAGGGGCAAAAAACAGGATCTAAATATATATTTCTTGCTAGTCCGGCTTTCTTCACCATACGTTTCAATTTCTTTGTCGTAGTAACTGTAGGGTTTCCTATATCGACTCTGGTTGAGATTGCATTCCGATAACGAATACATTTTTTTCAGCCGAGTACCTTTCAAATCATCGGAATTAATTAAATAAACAAGTATTTACTTACATTTTTCATTTTAAAGTCGCTCAAGTTTGTAAATTTTTAAATTTAACGAACTTGTTTGGCCAAAATATCGTCGACAAAAAATCCAACCAAGTGCCACAATCATATGTTTTTCCTAATTGCAAATTCTTGTTGGCAAAATTTTTTCCAACTTGAATTTGCAACTTCTCTCCAAGAACTAGTCTTTCTACTTGTGATTTATTTAAATAAAACAGTGAAATTCATTTGAAACACTTTAGCCGTTTCTAGCCGGTTTTTTTGCCAATTTAGCTGGTTGGTCCAAAAAGTTCTGGCAACACTGATTGTGATTAACAGAAAATATTTATGCCAGATAAGTTTATTTGGGTTTAGTGTGGTTCAGTAAAGAGCCACTGATCGTTTTGTATACATTCATGCATACATAAATTTGTACATATTAACTAAGTATAACTTCTATGTAAGTTTTTTAATTTTCTAATCAAATATGTGCAAACTTTTTTAATTTGTGTTATTTATAATCATGAAGGTTTAAAGATGGACAAGAAATTGAAGCTGACGCACGTGTAAAAATTTCACGAGATTCTTATCGCTCCGAGGATTATTTCTTGTCTCTTACAATTTGTCAACCAAAGGACGCTGGTACGTACGAAGTGAAGGCTTTAAACAGCATCGGGGAGAGCCAGTCGCAGTGCAAGGTGCTAATTTTGAGTAAGTACATATCTTATGCATAAATTGAACAAAAACTTCCTACACTTAATCTAACACCCAATACATACATATAAAATTTATACCACATTCCCCTCCAGATGAGCTAGTCACAAAAGATGATGTCGATGGAGAAAAAATACAAAGCGTGGAAAAAGAGGGTAACCAAAATACAGAATGTACAGTAGGTGGAAAAAACTAATTTTCTTAAAGAAGGCCAAACCAAAAGTCTTTTAGAGCTAGTTTTTTGCAAGTTATTACAAATGTACACGGCTCAACAAAATTTGGGCCAGTTTAATCTCGAAAAGGCCAACGACATCATCTTATAGTTCTTTTTTGTGCTGATTTCAAGTCCATTTGCAAACCTTTTCTGGCACGTCTAGTTTTTGAGAAAAAATTGTTGAAGTATCAAAAAATCAATAAAATGGTCATTTTCATAAATTAAAAATAGTAAATTTGGACGTAGTTTTTCCGAAGAATAAATCCGCGTGTTAATGAAAATACAATTCGTCTGATGAATTCTACCTCATGTCGATGAGTTGAGTAGAAATGCGTTAAAAAATCCCGGAAAATTCAAATTAACAGAGATTGACAGGAATTCTCTTGAAATCATTTATTCAATGAACAAAATTTTCATTTTCCGATTTTTTTTTCATTTATTTCTACTCAACTATTCGAAATGAAGTGGAATCTACCAGATGAATTGTATTTTCATTAAAACGCGTCTCTTTTTGCTTAGGGAAAACTACGTCCAAGTAATTCTTTTTTCTAATTTGCAAAATTTTTTACCTTGCCATTTTCCGATACTCCACAGTGTTTTCTCAAAAACTAGACGTGCTAGAAAAATTTCGTAGATGGAATGAAATCGGCATTAAAAAATTAATAAGATGAGGTCCGACCCGTTCTCGATAAAATTAGTCCAAAACTTGTTGAGCCGTGATGTTAAAAAGAAGAACCAACTTTAAGAAAATAAAACAAATGAACTAAAAATCGAAAAGTAAATTGTTAAAACTTAATTACCTACTCAAGGATTATCAATCTAAGCAAATGCTTGAAAAAGTTTATTTTGCATACTTTGGCAGTTGGGTTGGTTTTTGCATATGTTCGACTTACGTGCTTATTTTTGCATATTTGACAACATTTCATAAATTTTCGAAGAAAAAGCGAAACCAGGAGAATTCATGCATATTTCTTCTACCACCTTGCATGAATTCTCCTTTTTACAATGCATGCATACCCTGTCGGTATTTTCGTAGTCGACTACTAAAATAGCCAACTTTTGCCCAACTTATTACGGCTAACTTTTAATTGGTTAAAGTCATGCAGGGCTCAATCGAGAAAATATGTATGTATGTAAGTAAAATCGTTTCACAATTTTCACTTTCGACAAAAGAACTTGTGTTCAAAAACCAAAAATTTAAAACAATTGTGTACATTTATTGGCATTGTGTGTTTTAGCGTAAATCAACACAGTAAGACGGGATTTTTACATAGTAAAAAAGAAACAGAAAAAATTTCGATAAAAAAAAAAATATTTTTTCTCGGGTTCAAGACTATCCTATCTTTTAAGTTGGAACCAACAATACACACCCACAAAGTTTCATTGAAATCGATTAAGAATTTTCGGAGATTAGCGTAAACGAACGGGATTTTTATACCTTTCATGAGCATGACATGGTGTTATAACTTTGGTCCGATGTTTGTAAGTACCAGAATAAGAAGAGATAGACCCATTAAAATGTATACTTAAATGATCAGAACGGCGAGCTGAGTCGATTTAGCCATGTCCGTCTGTCTGTCTGTCCGTCTGTTTGTATGCAATCTAGTCTCTCAGTTTTGAGATATCATTTATCATATATCATTTGTATTAATCATTTGTCGGAACCGGAAGAATCGGACCACTATAACATATAGCTCCCATACAACTGATTGTTCATATATGAGATTTTACGTTATAACTTCTCCATTTATGCAGCTAGGAACATGAAATTTTGCAATACTTCCACCCATTATCAACAGAAAACTTAGAGTGAAAATTACAAAGATCGGGTCACTATAACCTATAGCTCTCATACAACTGATTGTTCAGATATACGATTTTTCGTCATAACTCCTCCATTTAAGTAGCTAGGCACATGAAATTTTGCACTGTTGTCACTCATTACACAGGCCGACATTTTTCAGTCCCTGGGATCAGCTTACACTTTTTCAATGGTTTCTGATGCGCTGAATCTTAATCCAGAATCAGTTTTGCTCGATTGGCTCAGGTTTTCGAGATATTTGAGCCTAAACATGCGAAACCCCCGACTTATTGCTATATTCGTCATGTATTTTCATCAAGAATAGTTCGTTTTTTTTAGAAAAATTAATAAACCAATCGAAGGTAAAATATTACCCCTTGATAATGCTGTTCAACTCAACGAGATATCTTGTTTTAAACCTGAGATATTGTCCATTGAAATTTATAAGTTTTGCGACATTACTTCTTTGCACAAATGCTTGAAAGATACAACAGGAAAAGAAACAGATTTGTGGTATATTTTTAGGCGTCTTTATTAACATAATGAACGTATGTGTATAAGTGCGCGTGCATAGAGAAAACTTATTTCGTTTAAGAATTTAACGAAGAAATGAAAGCATGAGAATTTCTATAGGAATTTCATTTGATATTCTACATATAATATACATGATATATATGTATATGATGTACATGATAATATACACATACATTCGTTATGTAAATAAAGACGCCTAAACGTATACCACAAATTTGTTTCTTTTCCTGTTGTATCTTTCAGCATTTGTGCAAAGAAGTAATGTCGCAAAACTCATAAACTGGTTGCTGTTTTTTATGGCAAAAAATATACTCGGAGGTTTGCCATTGCCTGCCGAGGGGCGACTGCTGTTAAGACAATATGGTGAATTAACACAACGGCAATAACGCAAAATTTGCTTTATTGCACTTTTAAATGGAAAATAATACCAAAATCTGAGTTTTGCTTTATTTCCAACAGTAAAATTAACAAAGATCGGGTCACTATAACCTGTTTATTGCCCCCATACAACTGAGTGCTCAGATATGGAGTTTTACTGTAAAACTCCTTTATTTGGACAGCTAAAACCGATAAATTTCGTAAGCTATTTTATAAATAATAATACAAAGTCTACTGAGAAAATCGTCAAAATGTATACTGTAGGAGCTTAACCTCTTATACCACTGATTGTTCAGATACCAGTCTTTGCGATATATCTCCTTTATGTAGGAAGCTAAACCCATTAAATTGTGTTACCGGTTTACGTACCGATCACACAGCAGTGAAAATCACTTATATTGGTGCTATATAAGGTATATCTTCCATACCTCTGATTGTGTAGATATGATTTTTTATATATGTATCTCCTCTATCTATGTCTGCTGTGAATATATAAATTTTTTCAAATGCAGTCATCTGTTAAAGTAAAATTTTCAGATGCTCATGAAAGGTATGAAGCCTTCGGCATAGCCGAAGACAGCGCTGCTCTTACTTGTTATGTATTAAGATAAGCACGTTGCGAGGAGCATAGAAAAAATTTCAATGAAAAAAAAAATTTCATGCAAATCGGTTAAGCGGTTTCGGAGATAAGCGTAAATTAACACAGTGACACGGGATTTTTATATATTAAGACAAGCCAATGCACGCTTGCATCGCGGCGCTTTATAAGAACTTCTTCGTTGGCCAATTCAAAAGAACGTTTAAGGGCAAAAACAGTCTGTAAAGTAAACAAATTTTTGTTTTAGTTGAATCCACTCACAGGCTAACCTTATATTCGCTGCTTCCATTTTGATACGCATGCCGTCGAGTTTGTTTTTATGCGTCACCCGAAATTGGCTTGCGTGCGTTTGCATTTGATTTCATTGGACGAAACGTCAAATCAAAATGTTACGCAGAACAAAAATTAGAAACTGTCTTAGCTTCATACGCACGCCGTTCAATTTCGGTTGGGCCTGTAGGCGTTCCTATATTGTATTAACAATATTTATTAAAAAGATATATTAACGTTTAAATTACGAATAAATGTCTACAATCTATGATTTAATTAAAATGCCTTTTTAAGTTGAAATTTCTGCATACCAGTCCGTCCGGATCCACAGTCGTCAGAAGAGAGAGCGAAGCGAACAAACGATAGGCGCAAGGTTGCATTTTAGCTTGCTTTAAAATAGCGCCTTTGGCGTTGCCACAATACTCCCCCCAGACTTCTACAGATAGTAGCGAGATGGAAGTCTGACCGTTCGCCCAACCATTGTCCTCTGTTCAGGGGTGTCTTGCGGCGTTGTTGTCGAATTGGTAGGTTGACTTTTTTGAAGATAATTCGCCTCGGCTGTTGGAACTGGAATAGATGTATCTTCAGATGGTTTATCTACGAATGCAGCTTTGATGCGGTCGATAGAAATCGTAACCGATTTGTCGTTTATCTTGATTACATATGTTTTAGCAATGCGTTTCTCAACTTCATACAGGCCATCATACGGTGGTGTTAGTGCCGGTTTCACAGCGTCTTTACGGACGAAAACGTGCGTAGGTGTTGCCAGCCCGGGTGCCATGAAAAGTTTCCGTTTAGCCTTGTGGGATGTGTCTGTGGGATGTAGCTCGTGCATGTTTTTAATCAACTCCTGGACGAATTCAGATTGTACTGCTTATGTGAGTGGCTCACACATGTCCCCTGGAAGTCTGAGTGATGTGCCATAATCTAGTTGAGCAGGGGTCGCCTTGATGTCCTCTTTGTACACTGATCGCAGGCGCAACAAGATAATCGGTAGTTGGTATGACCAATTTGAAGAATCACGGCACATAATCGCTGTCTTCAATGTTCTATGGAGCCTCGCTATCATCCCATTTCCTTGAGGGTGATACGCAGTTGTTCGCAAGTGTTGAATACCAAGCACACGGGATAATTCTCGAAAAAGTGTCGATACGAATTTCCGGCCTTGGTCCGTAGATATTCTGAGCGGTACCCCAAAATGT